CCTCACGCCCGGCGCCTTCTCGGCCAATCAGCGACCGCGGGCGGGAGGCGGGCTCTCAGGTTCCTGGAAAGGGACAGCGACGGCGGCCGACGTTGGCTGGGGTTCCCCGGGTGCCCTGCACCAGTGTTCTGATGTGACCCCACGCGGGGTCGTGAACTCCTACTGGGGTTTGACCAAGCTGCCTTAGGGACGATGAAATGTGGAGGCTGAAGCTGCAGATTTGAATTGTTTTTCCCCATTTGAAAACGGAGAGGTGGGCGTGGTGGTGCGACACTATTAATCCCAGCACTCTGGGAGGCCGAGGCAGGAGGATCATCAAACCCAAACTGTGAAAATAAAGAGAGACCCTGTCTCCAAACATAAAGGGGTGAGATGTAGCTCAATGTGAAGCACCTGGATTCCGTCCCCAGTAACACATACGCGCACACACACACACACACACACACCTGCACCCACAAGGATGCCTAATCTTTTCTGGAAACTTTTGAGACCAAACAACAAATACGTTTAGAACAAATTATTAAAATTAAAAATATGAGCCGGGCACGGTGGCAAGTGTCAGTAATCTTAGCACTAGGGAGGAGACAGGAGGATTGCTGCAAGTTTGAGGCCAGCCTGGACCACTTAGCAAGGCTCAGTCTCAAACACATACGCGCAAACAAAACACACACACACACACACACACACACCCCACCTACCTCTATGGGAGATGTTGAAAGTCTACTTCAGTGACAGTTTGGTCCTTGATTGGTTCTCAGGCACTTTCTGAAAAGGTGTTCGACTTGGCGGAGCACTTTCTTTGTTGTTGTTGAAATTACCAGGGATTGAACTCAGGACCTTGTGACTGCAAGGGAGGTGGCAGAACCACTGAGCTAAATCCCTGGCCCTGAGCAGCTAAATCCCTGAGCATTTTCAATAGGGCAAGTCTTATCAGTCCAGTTTTATATTGGAGCTTAGGTTTGATTCCAGGGCATTTCTGATGACATCACCATTCAGTTAATAAACAGGGTGCAAGGTTTGGTTTGGTTTGAAGGGTGGCATTCTGTTTTTGTTTCATTTTGGTGTCTCTCGTTTCAATCTCGGTTCCTTAAAGAATTAAAGTTCCTTCCTGGTTATGTACCATTATCTGTTAAAAGTCTGCTGTTACACACTTCCTGAGAGCTTGGAGTTGCTTTCATTCCTCTGCTGTTAGACCTCAGGAATGACTTTTTCCTAAACAGTTTGCTTCCTTTAAATGTTTGTAGTAGATCTTTATTTTCCTGTCATCAGTTTTTTTTTTAGTACTGAGATTTGAAAGCCTTCACACTGAGCCACAAGCACAGCCCTTTTTTTTTTCTTTTTTATAACCACGGTCTTGCTAAGTCACTAAATTGATTTGGTTGGGCTGAAACTTGTGATCCTCCTGCCTCAGCCTCTCAAGGTGCTGGGATCACAGGTGTGCACCACCACGCTTTGGCCTGTAGTCACCATTTAATGAAGCTTTTATTTGCCTAATGTTTACAGCTCAAGATGGTAGTCCTAAAGCATGATCCTTCCCTAAATCTTCTTGAAATGACACTTTTTTTTTCAGTAACCGGGGATCAAATGCAGGACGTTGTGCTTGTGAGGCAGGTGCAGTGCCACTGAGCTAAATCCACAGCCTGATCTTTTTTTTTTTTTTTTTTTTTTTTTTTTTTTTGAGACTCGCTGTAGTCCACTGTAGTTCAGACTGGCCTTGGGCTCATTATCTACCTCCTGCTGGCCTTGAACTTGTAGCAATCCTCCTCCCTTAGCCACCCAAATGCTCAGGTGACAGGTGTACACCACCCCGCCTGGCTTGAAATCACATTTAATGTTGGCTCTCTGTATTCTCCTTGGCAGATTGATTCAATCAACCATGGATCCAGATGTTCAGGACAAAAACTGCATCTGAACTAAACAAGCACAGACTTCTCTTTCCATCATTCACTGAATAATACGGTATAGCAGCTGCATTCTTAGCATTTGCATTGGACTGGGTTGTATAAATAATCTAGAGGTGATTTAAAATATAAAGTGGCCATGAATAAGTTACATGCAAACACTATGCTGTTTATATAAGGGCCTGTTGAGATAGGGTCTCGCTATGTAGCCCAGGCTGGCCTCGAACACATAGTGATCCTCCTGCCTCAGCCTCCCCACGCTGGAATCACATGGTTTGTGCCATGTCGCTGGGCCAAGCCACTGTTATCAATCCACCTCACAGAAAAGGAAACAAAGGTCATTGAGGCTGAATAACTTAGCTCATTCACCTTGGCTTCCTGCTTGATACAAACCGCTAATACTCTTGGGATGTGTTTTATGGCTTAGCCGATGCCAGTTTTGTAGTTTACAAGGCCGAGATACGATCTGCCTCATCAAAGGTAAGAGCGCAGCTGGGAAAGCGTCCTGTGTGTATCACCTGGTTAGAGAGAACAATGCCGCTTTCCACAGCTCTTGACAGCCTCCTTGGAACACCGCCCAGGAGCTGCTCCCCGCGGACCCTGGACAGCTCCTCCCGCCGCAGAGTCCCCCCCCAGCTAGTGGAATAGCAGCTGGCGGGAGCCGGTCCCCGCGGTTGCCCCAGAGCCGGTCTTCTGTAGTGACCAGTGCTCTGGGCTTCCTGCTGTTTCTGTCTGCGGGATGATTCAGAGCTTGGCGCTGCGGACCCTGACCTCCGTGGTGCTCCCAGTGCAATCTGCAGAAATTCTAAGCAGGACTCAGCAGCCGGGGAGAAAATCTTCCCATTTCAGCGCTTCTCTGGGATGTGGGCCACGGGACACTTCCTACGGCATCTTCCAGTGTTGATGTATGCCTTTTTTTCCCGCTCTGCTTTTTAAATCTGCGTGCTACCTCTGTTGCCCAAAAGAGCCCAGATTAATAATTTTTTAATTTTTATTTTTGTCAGTACGTGTTTGCAGTACATGATTATGTTCATTGTGAGGAGTAGCTTCAGGCACTTAACACATCGCAATTCTTTTTACCATCCTCTCCTCCTCCCAGATCAATAATTTCTTTAAATAGCCCACTTTGTTTGGTGTAATTGTGCCTTGGAGTAACTGTTGCATCGGCCAGACAGTAGTTCTTTGGAACTATGGTTTATAAGAATGGTCCGCATAGAAGAATTAAGATTTCATCAAAGTAAGATTCATCAGAGTGTTGGTCCAGGCATGTTGGTGTGCACCTGTAATCCCAGTACTGTACCTTGGGAGGCCGAGGCAGGAGGATCTAAAGTTTGAATCCAACCTAGGCAACTTAGTGAGTTAAGGAAGGGCCTGTCTCAAAATTTAAAAATTTTTAGTCAGGCATGGGAGCACATGCCACCTGAGTGTAATCCCAGCACTCAGGAAGCTGAGACAGGAAAAGTTGGCTGGAGGGTCACCAGTTGAGGCCAATCTCAGCTACATAGTGAGTTCAAGGGCAGGCTGAACTACATAGC